TCAAGTTTTGTGCAAAAACGCATGATCGCTCCGGCTCGCCTGGTGCGTTCCAGCCTACGTTTTAAGTTACAATAGCCTTGACCGTACACCAGGAAGCTCCCTCCCTCATGACCTGAAACGGAGCAAATGACAAACAACGAAAATTGAAAGAGGAGGAGAGGCTGCTGCTGCTACTGTTAGGCATGGGTCGCCCAGCCAACCCCACCCGTCGTGCATAGAAAAAATTTTTGGCTAATCATGTAGGAGGTGAGCCGGGCCGAGCCGAGTCGAGCCAAGCCGTGTTTTAGTAATATACCTTTTCGTATCGTAGCAAGATCGCAAGGAATCACGGTAGCTAACCCTGTGACATACCGGCCCTCGAAGTTCGGGAAGTTAATTGTGCAGCTATATGGTATGTCAGTTGTAGATGTCGAGTTCAGTGACCCGACAAATGAAAAGTTGCTGGTCCGTGAAAAAGACCACACTAGAAGAGTTAAATTTGAAGTCTTTTAGTCGCACGTGAGTAGAGAACATTCCTTCAAAATTAAAGCCTTCAGCTTTTCCCGTTCCCGAGTTAGCAGTTTTCCCATCGAAATTTTCACGTGTTCTTACGTGAGTACCGGCCGGTTTTAAGGAGCTGAATTTGAAATCTTTTGATCATACATGAGTAGAGAACATTACCTCAAATCTCCAACTTTCTGGCTTCTTTCGTCCCCGGGTTAGTGATTTTCGCGCCGAAATTTCCACGTGCCCGTGCGTGGACTCCGGGTGCTTTTGGTTGTAAATAAGTAGGGAACATTGCCCTAAACTTTCAGCTTTCTAGTTTTTTCCGTTTCCTGGTTAGTAATTTCCGAGCCAAAACTTTCGCATGTAGCGTACGTGGGTCTCGGGCACCTCTAAACAACTGATTTTCGTTGTGCATGAGTAGGCAACATTCCCCAAAAGTTTCAGCTTTCCAGCTTTTCCCGTTCCCGGGTTAGTAATTTTCGCGCCAAAATTTTCACGTGCCGGCACGTGAGCTCCGAGCGGTACTGGGCAGCTGAACTTGAAATCTTTTTGTCATACACGAATAGGGAAAAATCCCCTATGATTTCAGCTTTCTAGCTTTTCTCGTCCCCGACTTAGCAATTTTCTTGCCAAAACTTTCAAGTGTGCGTACGCCGAGCTCAGACGTGCGTGAGAATTGATACCGCGGTCCTGGGGTGGCACCTGGCTGGGGAATATACTGGCAAAACTTCAGCTTCAAAGCTTGCGTAGTG